AATAAACTTCAATTCCATCATTTATGATATTCAAATGTTATGCTCAAATGCATTTCTGAATACACGTTTTAAAATGAACTTCAGTTTGAACCAGCTTTATTTTGCTTCTTACCTTCTATTAACAATATAAATGTTTATTCCAGATTAAAACAAGTTGGTATGATTTGCAAATAAAAACCTTAACAAATAAAAAAATACAGTGCAGAACAAGAAATTTCTAAGCTTTTTCAGAAGATAGATGGGCTATGCAAAGGAAATGTTTCACTGTCATAAGAACAAAGCGACTTCAAATTTACAGTACTTTAAATGATGCTGCCACAGAAGACAAATTTAGTACACTGTGTAATGTCATCCTTCACTTAGAGACAAATAACCTACTCTCCAATAAACAATTTGGTTTCAGAAAAAAACTATCCTGTAATCTGCAACTCTTACACTGCAAAAACATATGGACGACACAACTCGACCAGGGCAAAGCAATAGACGCAATCTACATAGACTTCTGTAAAGTCTTTGATTCAGTGGTACACGACAAACTACTCCTAAAAATAAAATCCTATGGTATCTCTGGACAACTGAATAACTGGATAGAAGCATTCCTGTCAAACAGACAACAAATGGTCAAAATCGGGAGCGTACTATCAAATCCAGTACCTGTCAATAGTGGTGTTCCCCAAGGCAGTGTTCTAGGACCAACTCTCTTCATACTCTACATAAACGACCTCTGTGATCATATTAAGAGCAATTGCGTTCTCTTCGCTGATGATGTAAAGCTGTTCAATACCACAGACAATACTGCTACCCTACAAAAAGATCTTGACTATGTATCAGAGTGGTCAAACAAATGGTAACTTCAAATCTCAACAAATAAATGCTCTGTCTTACATATTGGCAAAAAAAATCAGAAAATAAAATACAAGCTGAATAGTCAAGATCTTGTTGATGACCCAAGCTCTGTAAAGGACCTTGGAATACTCACCTCTAATGATCTAAGTGCTAGAGCCCACTGCAACTACATAGCCAAAAAGGCATTAAGAGTTGTTAACCTAATCCTACGTAGCTTTTTCTCTGGTAATATCACACTACTAACCAGAGCATACAAAACATTTGCTAGACCAATACTCGAATACAGTTCATCAGTCTGGAACCCACACTACGTATCTGATATTAGCACAATTGAGAAAGTCCAGAAATATTTCACAAGAAGAGTTCTCCACTCCTCTACTCGTTGTAGAATACCTTATGCCACCAGACTTGAAATTCTAGAACTTGAAAACCTTGAATTACGCCGTCTTCGGTCTGACTTAAGCATGGTATATAAAATCATACATTGCAATGTCCTACCTGTCAATGAATACTTCAGCTTCAACCATAACAACACAAGAGCACACAATAGATACAAACTCAAAGTAAACCGCACCAAACTTGATTGCAGGAAATACGACTTCAGCAATAGAGTGGTCAATGTCTGGAATACTCTACCCGACTCTGTAGTTTCTTCCCCAAACCACAAAAACTTTAACCTTAGACTGTCTACTATTGACCTCACCCCTTTCCTAAGAGGCCTGTAGGGGGCGTGCATAAGCGCACCAACGTGCCTACCGTCCCTGTCCTATTGTTTCTCTTATTCTTTTATTTTTCTTATATGTACCCATTTCATGTATTCACAACTATGTATACATTTATACTTATTATCTTGTAAACAATTGGCAAATCAAATAAATAAATAAATAAATAAATATTAGTAATGAAATTTGAAGATTATATTTATTCGAAATTTCTGTATCTTCAAATTATCGTTACTAATATATGACTAACACGCAAAGAAAAAGAGCAACATGAACCTGATGGGTGGGAGTCAGTCAGTATTTCACACATCTGGCTAATTTCTTCCTAAAATATACCAAAAACAGATTATGTATGCCAGAATCCTATTCTACGAAAACTACTTCAAAATTGATTTCCACCAAATCCATTTGGATTGCCTGAAAAGATGGATCTACTGAATTTATGTCTCTTTAACAAATCCATTTTTCCATAATGCCAAATTAAAAAGATTGCTCTAGAACAGGGGTGGGCAAACTTTTTGGCTCGGGGGGCCGCATTCACTTTTAAAATTTGACAGACGGGCCGGGTCAGCACAAGATTTTTTGGGAATCGCCCCCCTTCCCCCCCTTCTTCTCCTCCTTCCCCTCCCCTCGGAGGCCCCCTGAGTCAGGAGTTGCTACTGCCGGCACGGCTCCACGCGGCTCCAGTCCCACGTTGCCTCGGGAAGGGAAAGACAAAAAGGAAGAGCCGCGGCGGTGCTTTGCAATAGCAGCAGCGGCACCGGAGGTTCAGGCTCAGCGGCTCCTGGTTTTGCCTTTCCCTTCCCAAGGCAACGCGGGACTGGAGCCGCGCGGAGCTGCGCCGGCGGTAGCAACTCCTGACAGCCCCAGCCGGACACCTGAGCAGAGCCCGGGCAGAACTGCCCGTTGCTGCTGCGGGTGCTGCTGCGGGTGTCTGGCTGCCCAAGTAAAGAACCGCACCAGCTCAGGGCAACTGTGAGGAGCAAGAGGGGAGAGGCAGAGAAGGAGGCAGAGAAGGAGGAGAGCACCTGGCCAGTTGGGGGAGGCTTCTTGTGCTGCGAAAGAGGCGGCTAATGATCTCTGGCTCCACTCTGCTTCTCCAACATCCGGCGCTGCCCTGTTCTGTGCGCCGGCTGCTCGGACTTGCTGGGCCTGACACAGAACAGGGTGGTGCCGGATGTTGGAGAAGCAGAGCGGAGCCGGAGATCATTAGCTGCCTCTTTTGCAGCACAAGAACAGGGTGGTGCCGGACCATTGGAGAAGCGGAGCAAAGCCGGAGATTAGTAGCTGCCTCTTTCGGCGCAGAAAGCTTCCCCCAACCAGCCGGCTGGTCTCCTCCTTCTCTGCCTGTTTGTTCTGTATGCCCGAGGAGGAGGAGACCAGCTGAGAAGCATGCTGCCAGGCGGGGGCCACGCGGTGCAGGGCAATACGCCACCGCCCAGCCCTGGCTTGGGAAAGCAGTGGGCGTTCCCCGGGTGGTGGCCTTGGCCCCGCTAGCAGGGAAGCAGCTGCCCAGCTCCGTGTTGTGTGTGCAATTTTTTGGCGCGCGGCGCGGGGTCTCTTGGCCGGCCCCAATTTTTTTTTCAGAGGGGAATATTTTTTTTTCAGAGGCGGGCCGTATTAAAATGACCAATGGGCCGGATGTGTCCCGCGGGCCGTAGTTTGCCCACCCCTGCTCTAGAACCCGGGGAAAGCATCTGGAAGAAAATGTGAAATAAAGAGATTCATTAAAAACATTTCATGTTTTGTATCGGCAAAACTCTCCTTGTGATGGAGTAATTCTAATCTGCTATTTAAAAGAGCCTGTTACTATTTGAAAGAGGGGTTTTAAAAGAAATGTGGCTGTTTCAGTGATAAGCATAGCAACATTCCTGTGATTGTCGAACAACTGAAAGCAAAGAGATCCTCCAGCTACACTATGTAAGCAGAAGAGTTGATATATGTGTTTAGCAGGAGAGGCTCTGCAATAGGTCTAATATGCTGTTTGAAGTCTACAGAATCCTTTTAGAAAAAATCAACTCACACAAACAAAAATTCCACCCTTGTGCAGCTGAGCACCAGCCTTTCATGGTCTGTTCCCTTTCTTATTAACTCTTCCAGTTCCTCAGTACCTGGAGCAGGGGTCTCCAACCTTGGCAACTTTAAGACTTGTGGCTTCAACTCCCAGAGTTCCTCAGACAGCTTTACTGGCTGAGGAACTCTGGGAGTTAAAGTCTACAAGTCTACAAATTGTCAAAGTTGGAGACCCCTGCTCTGGAGCACGTATCCTGGGTTTTGTCTTCTTGTATGTATTCTTGCTATATATATTTACAAGACTTAAACAAGGGAGGACAAACCAGACTTCATGTATACTATGCAGCATTGCAATCCTTTTTCTGTGGTCCACAACCTTTACCAGATGGCGTATTTGTAAAAAAGAAAAAGAAGTAAAGAATAATCAAAATCTATATTTTAAGCCATTGTCCCAATTTGTATCCTCTGTGCAGGATGAAAATATATTTTTGAAAAGCCAACCCCATTTGAAAAAAAATTACTCACTTCAACTACACCAAATTATTAAACTATAGAAAATATGTTTCTTTTATATTATTATGATTATAGTTACAGATAAAGGAATATTTTAGGGCTACTGCTATAGCAATAGCACTTAGACTTATATACCATTTCACAGAGCTTTCCAGCCCTCTGTAAGCAGTTTACAGAGTCAGCATATTGCCCCCAACAATCTGGGTTCTCATTTTACCCACCTCAGAAGGATGGAAGGCTGAGTCAACCTTGAATATAAAAATTAGATTAAATTTGGTTTCTGGGCCAATTATTGTACAAGTATCAAAAATCCATAGTCATTATATTCCTGCTTAGATCTGTAGATACATTTGGAAATTTGAGAAAGTGCAATAGAACTCATCACAAACTTGGTACAATGCAAAGAAACTACTATCATAAGTCATAAAAATCATTTCTTTAAGTCTTATTCCTTATCACTTGTATGTAAATTGGGAGCTTTATCAAGCTATTTTTAGTAGATTTTATTGGTATTGGAAAAGAAAGATTGGAAAGTTATTTTGATGTCAGAATAAATAATTACTATCTTCTCCATCTGCTGATTCAAAGCTCAGATTTGGCTGAAGCTGATGGGACTGGAAAACAAATATGCCCTTTCAGTCTTCTCATTCTAACAGATCTCATAATCTAAAGAACTTTTTCTTTGCTACACAATTCAGCAGGGCTGTCAAATTCTAGGCCAATGTGCTGGATGAGTCACGCGGTGGCCATGCCCATGGGCAGTTTAGTGAAGAAAAGTTGCATACTTCATGTGCCGACGTCATGATGCCATGAGTTTGACGCCCCTGCAATACAGTATTTTAGTGCTACTTGTCATTTAATTCACTGACAAAATAACAGCATGCATATAAGAAGAGACAAACATACCCAGGACACGAATTTGCATCACTGCTCCATGTAAACCAAAGAACATCCATAATGGTTGGGAACAATCCACGCATACTTGCATGCCTGCACTTGCTCCATTGTGACTCAAGTGCAGTTCTCCTTCTGAATTCACCATGAATCCCAAGATGTCTCCACTCTGGAGAGGCACCAGCACTCTACAGACTGCCCAGAACTCTTTTCGATCAACTAAAGACTCTGGATTATAAGGAAGGTCACTGGGTCTCAGGGTGCTAGGATCACAAGTGGTTACCCCATATGACAGTGTCCCAGTACGTGAAGTGTTGGATTTATTTATTTTGACAAATATAGTCTCATTGATTCTAAGTGACCTGCTGGTAAAAACCAAAGTTCTCTCATCTCGAGCATGGTCCAGACGGGCCACAGTCTGGTCATCCAGAATTTTAATATGGGCTCCCCTGAGCTGATGGAAGCGGAGATCGCTTTCAAGTTGAGATGGGAGGAGGTGGGAATGCTGAGAGTTGAGGGAATTCTGTGGAATAGGACACATGGCAGTCATGACTTGGAAATTATCCTCCTGTAAGTTGAGATCACAAAGGCTGACAGATAGACGGGTATCCTCAGTCTCTCTGCGCAAAGAGGGTCGGCGGATAGCTGTGAAGGATCTTGGACGGAGGCAATCAGGAGGAATAATTTCACTATCTGCAATTGAGAGAAGGAAAAGATAACCCGAGGTGAGGAAAGTATTTCAGTTTTGTTATCAGTTGTTCAAAAAGGAATGCAATATCTTGCTTTCTTTTAAAGACACAACGCATAAAATAATTTATTGTAAGTTTTTGGTCACTCTTCTGCATAAACTTTCAAACAGCAAATTGCTGAAACAGGAGACAACATTGGGAAAGAATAAATAGGATCCAGTGTGAAATCTCTAAGAAGATTGCTGCAAAGTCCTGAAAACTATGCTCTGAATTTGTTCTTAAAACAAGTTTCACTGATAGGGTGACAAGAATATTTGAGTACATAGTTTGATTTTTAAAAGTTTTTAAGAAAAGGAGATGTCTTAACCCTAATAGTGTAGAAAATGTGGACTCGGGTCATATTTTATTTGGTTTGTTTATGGCATTATCACTACTTCAGTCCGTTTATTTATTTATTCAACTTATATGCCATCCATCTTTTATCGCTTACAATCATTAAAAACAATAAAAATTTTAAAACACTAAATAGTTACATTAAATTAGTTAAAATTGACAAAGATGAAAAGAAAGGGAGCAGAATCAATCCACTAATAGACTCCCACCATTTATAGATAATAATAAAATAAAGCAATTATAATAAGTATATTAAATAAAATACTTTCATGGTACAAATCATTTATTCATTCAATCAATCAATCTTTAAAACCTTCTGGAAGAGTCAGTTCTTATAAAGAAATTTAGAGGTAACTTTGGGGAAGGTATAAGAGGGCTGACAAGGAAGGAACCAGTCATTACAGCAGAACCTAGACAAGGAATTAAATAGTTCAGAGATAAAAGGAAGCATGAACAAGGTATAAACTAACATGATTTTGTTCAGCATAAGAGAGAAACTTTCAAGATACCCTACAATAAAAATTCAAGATGGTGCTACTATACCCTATAACAATAAAATAACATTTTTTGAATCCCTGTAGTGTCTGTTTCTTGACCTGATCAATTTTAAAGGGCTGTCAGGCCTTTACCAATTTTAAGCAATCTTTTCTATACCTGTTTGGTTTTCCCCCTTCCCACTCACAGAGTGGAAAGTTTGAGTGTAAAGCATTACAAGACAGTAAGCAGGCAGACAATGAGGAATTCACATCCAAAGGAATGCATTGGCTTTGGCTTTAACCTAACATGCTTGGGGTCACAAGCAATCTAGGTAAACAGTCAACTAATGCTGGTGCAAGGTGTATACCTGCTATTCTCTTCTAAACCCTTATTGAATGAATGAATGTAAATACAAATATTAATTCCCTTCTTGGGTGAGCATTTCAAAGGTAGGGGGGAGGAAATCTGAAATAAAATTGACTGTCACAGTGATGTGATTTTTCTACTTACAACTGCATCCCTTAGCAATTGAGTTGGGAGGGGTTTCAATTGTGGTGGCTTAATTGAGGACTACCTGTATTGATATTTGATTTGTATTTTCCCTGCACAACGTTTCTTGTTATAAACACTAAGCATAGAAAACTGAAAAGGTGTCCCATTGTTTTATTTGAATACTGCAGCATGAAGTACAAAGCTGAACATGTTCGATCAGTAAAGCCTGAAATTTCTGGTAGAAATTTCTACCAGAATTCTACTACTGTATATCTGTACTCAAAAGTTTCCAAAATGGCTGCTGTAACTGGATATTGCAATAAAAGCAATATTAAATGAATGTCCTTGACTATTCTTTGACATTATCTAGCTGATATTATTCAAAAAGAACACAGGAAATTGAAGTAAACCTGTAGCAAAACAAATATTTGATTCTGAGGATCATTTCCTGCTTTTCTTTATAGCAAAACAAAAAGTCATTCTTTTTTAATGTTTTTTTTTTAATAGTCAAGGGGTCCTTTTACATAAAGTAAGAGCAGGATATTATAAAAAAACAGAACAAGATTTCTCCAATATTTTTATCATAAATCAAGCAAAGTATAGGTGTATTTAACTCTCCATAAAAGTACTGACATTGTTGGTGTTTACTTTAAGACAAATATGAAATTTATGAATTTTGTGTTAGTTTGACATTAACTGGCTGACATCATTGAAAAATAATCAGGAAATTGAACTAACATCACTCATCACAACAAATATTCAGTTCTAATATATATCTTTTGCCATGCTTTAAAAAAAATTAACAGCTTTTTACTAAACAATAGTTTCCGAGCTCATAGCAATGACACATTTACAGCTGAGAAGGCACAGCAATATTTTCAGCCTCTGTTTATTTTACTGATTGCTTATTTGAGGCATAAAACAGGTGTTATTTTGCTAAAATATAGCAGAATATAGGGCTATTTTTCTCGATGGCTTTTGGTGTGTAGTTCTTTACATTTAGTATGATAAAATGCTCCATGATTTCTAAAGCAAAAGGATATAAGAAAATATCTTGTTTTACTTTCTCTTCCTAAGTGTGTGTGTATGTATCTCTGTGTGTCTGTCTGTCTGTGTGTGCGTGCGTGTGCGCGCATGGGCGTGCATGTTTGATCTGACCCTTTATCACTGAAATAAGAAGGAAGGAAGAAATTTAATGCAAAAACTCACTGCTTTAGGAATATTCTAGAAGTTGGAGAATATTTCAGATTTAGTGAACCTACAGCTTCTCCAAGCTTATCTGTTGGATCCATGTTGAGATACATGCTGCAAATTTTGGGTCAAAATACCAGATTATACTTCAAAGATGGCTGTATCCTAGGAAGATTTTCTATTCAGTGCATAGAAAAATAACACATACAACCTTGCTACTTAAGTGGTTTTTCTCTCCAATAGATGCATTTGTTCAGACGTCTTTTGAAACTATTGGGCTAGTTTAGAATTGAATTAGTGGAGTTAAAAGAATATAAGTTTATATCTATCTGAGTGAATCAGATACCTTGCCAGATTTTTATAAGTTTTTCTACTGCTAAAGTTAGGACCAGAAAATATATCCCAAGTGACTCCTAATTGTTGTGGTTCTGTCTTTTATAAAGTTCTCAAACACAGATCTTCCTTGTTCACATTTATATTTTGCCCCTAAGGCTATATGTAGAGTCTGACAAGGCATTAAGAATTAACTGTCAGTCAACATTATACAATTCATTTTTACATATATTAAATTTATATACACATATCTCAAATATAACAGATTTAGTTAGACCTTGGTTTTATTATATTTTTCATAACCAAAATAAAAATTCCATTTTTGAATTGTTTAGAAATCAGAATTGTTTTCTAATTGACAGACACTTTACTATCGAAAGATAATCAACTATATGGACTTGACTAAAATATTAGTTCAAGATATACAAGTTTTCTATCTGAGGAATGTTTTTAAACATCTGAGCAAACAGTTATCCAAAATATTGTATATTTTCATATTTCAGTATCTTGTCTCTCATCATAGTAAATGCTATGGTGATAATTGCAGTTTCTATAGTGTATCCTCCAGTTTGCCGAGTATAGTTACAATTATGATATAATCATTTATGAATGCAAAAGAAATTTCAGTTATTTGCACAGATACAAACTCCAAGCAACTGCAGTTTTCAAACAACTCAGGAATCTTTGTGACATTTCAGCATAATCCATAATTATTGCTATATTAACTTCAATCCTGTTGACTGTAAGAAATTAGTAGTTCCCTGTGCAGTTCAAAAAACTTCCTTAGTTATTTTGAACCAGACAGGGATGGGATTCTACCAGTTTGGACCGGTTCGGGTGAATCAGATGTTAAAGTTGCATTTGGTTCACCAAACCGGTATTTCAACCAACCGGCTGACCCCACCCACCCCGCACTGCCCTTCCCAGGAGTCTCCACGCAATGCAGGTAAGTGCAGGGTCCTGATGGAAACTCTGGGAAGGGGAAAAATGGGCCTTCTGGAAGTCCAGAAACGGGCCTGTTTCTGGCTTCTGGGGGGGCCTCCAGAGCCCAAAGGAAACTGTTTTTGCCCTCCCAGAGGCCTAGGAGAGCCCTCCGGACCCTTGGAAGGGTAAAAATGGCCTCCCCTCAGTCTGGAGGCCCACTGAAAGCCGGAAACAGGAAGTTCTGGTAGGCCACGCGCACCATGGCCACGCCCACCCAGCAATCAGGCAGCGAATAGGTTGTTGGGATTTTTGACTCCCACCCCTGGACCCAGATAACAATCAAAACCAATTCCAGTTGCAAAACAGTTATACAAAATGTAAAGTAGGATTTAATAACCTTCAGATTATCAAGGACGTGGATCACAGCAGTAAAAATAGGTAAGGCATGTAATGTCACGGAACAGAAAGCTAAGTTTATTTCAGAAGCAAATCCGAACAATAGTTTTAACTCACTAATTGGATGAAGAGAGAAATATATGTGCACAATCAGCCTTGGTGGCAGGTTGAGTGATTTGATTATATGGTTCCCAAGCAACTTCTGTTGTGGTTCGCCGGCAGCTGGTGCAGCCGGCAGCGGAATCAGACAGTGGGAAGAACAGGGACCAGTCAGGGAGTCTGGGGAGGACTTGGACAAGGGTCCTGCGTCTGAGGCAGAGATGGGGCCAGAAACATCTGGGAGTGGGGTGCTGCCTTCGGAGCCTTCAGAATCTGGCAGCAGCGAGGCAGAGGTCCCAGGGGAGCCTGTTCCAGTGCACGTGTGCGCAAAGCTGCTAGAAGAGGAGAACAGCTGAAACAAAAGGGGTGACTCAGGAATAAGGCTGGGAGGTGATTGCCCCTCCCATAAGGTATAAAAGTCAGGCAAAGATTATGAAACCTTTACAGGAAGTAAAGTAGTTTGTTCGGTTCAGATTCATTCTTGAAGCTCTTTGTACTTCAGTGAGTTTTCAGTTGGTTCATTTGATACTTCTGTTATTGGCAGCACAGGTCACAGAAAAGAAATGTGGGTGCTTATCTCAGGGGACTGTTTGAGATTAATTCCAGCTGGGAATGAAAACCATTCCCAGTGTGGCAATAAAATATGTCTTGTTTTTAAAATAAGTGTGTGCATAATTACCATTTAGAAAGCCTTGGTCA